TTGTAATATTATGAGAATAAAGTCGTAATATTATGAGATTAAAGTTGTAATTTTGCGAGAATAAAGTCATAATATTACAAGATTAAAGTTGTAATATTATGAGAATAAAGTCGTAATATTATAAGATTAAAGTTGTAATTTTGCGAGAAAAAAGTCATAATATTACAAGATTAAAGTTGTAATATTATGAGAATAAAGTCGCATTATTACAAGAAAAAAAATCATAATCTTACTTGACGTGTCCATTTTCCATTCCTCATTTCCTCCATATTTTCCCCACACCTTCTGTGGACAGCCATGTGTCTGTGCTAATAAAGTAGTCCGAGATGACTTGGTTCACTGTTAGATTAATACGCTTTCATCCAAATTAGCTATGTGACGACTAAATCTGTCAGTGCATCCATTAGTTACAATACGACTTCAGTTTATCATATAGTCGTTTGCACAATTTCCAAGTCCTGCTACTGATAATTTGATGCTAATGTGCTAAAATGTTAACTGTTTATTTTAAGCAATACTAAAGAACAACTTGACAAGTTGCTCAACATTCCTCATTTTAATGCAGTGATAACTGCATGCTTTTTCATGTAAAGAGTATTGCATATTCCGACTTTAATTTTAGAATATTATGAGTTTAATCTTGTAATGTTACAACTTTAGTCTCATAATATTATGACTTTATTCTCTTAATTTAAAAAAATATTAAAATCTCTTGTGGCCCTAATACTCCGTCTTACAATTGTACTTCAAAACAAAGTTAAATCTGTAACTAACTAAAATGGGCACTCTAACTAAGCATGCATAATAACTAAACCTAAGAGATCAACAAAAACGGACAGCTCAAATAAATCCGCTCTTGACTAAACCTAGTTCTGGGCGGTATGGCCAAAAATATATCACAGTACTTTTAAACATATCTGTATCATGGTATTATTATTAKTAGTAGTWGTATTTTTAACCACAGCTCAAGTTGATGTTAAGCTGTTCAAATGCTGCTTATTGATCAGGAAACTGGGAAAATCAGGAAATAGTTTCTGTGTTGCAGAAAGCTGAAGTTACTCACTTTCTGCAACACAAACTATTTCCTGATTATTATTAATTTATTTTTTATTTTACTGTACCTCTGTCTGTGTCGTGTTTTTCCTCTGACTTTTCTTCCTTCCCTGGTTGTAGACATTAGTCGCACATTTTGGGCTTACATCAAGTTAGCCATGACTTGAGGCAGGCACAGTCGTGAATGAGGAGGATTAAGAAAATATAATTATCAAGCAAATTTAATACACACATGAAGTCTATCTTTGCACATCACTGAAGAGGTGTATTCTACATTCAGTGATGGTGAAAATGGGAGTTTTTTGTCAATCAATGTAAGCAACAAAATCACCACCCACCACCAGTTATTGAGAAGGCTGCTYSTACAAWGACTCCAGCTTGCCTTGTGTGCTGCTAGTTCCTGCATGCACGTTCAGTTGTGCTGCATAGAAAAGAGTTTCCCATGWAACAGTTAACTAGAGGGCATGACATAACGTTTCAAGCGTGTTCAGGCTATTTTAACGGGTATGCCAGTATTCTGAAAATTTGTATAACAAAAATAAATCTGGTTTTTGGTATGAACCGGTATACTGCCCAGGTCTAACTAAACCCAAGAGGTAAACAATACCTGAGAGAGGGCAAGCTTATACATAAATAAACCAGAGTTCAGTGAAACCTGTACATAACTAATCCCAGATTCATACTGCTGTTTTTGTCAGAATCACACACAAGTCAACAACCAAGACTTCACCATTTTGTATACAGAAGGTTCACCGCAAGATGTGAACCACTGATGAGCCTCAAAAACAGAAAGCATAGATTAGAGTTGACATAACAACATTTTAAAAAGCCTTTACAGTGCTGGAACATTATGGATAAAGAAAAGTTGTATCAGAGTGAAGATAAGGATGGAAGTAACTGCTCATGATCCAAAACCACCTCATCACTGAAGCATGGTGGTGGTATTGTCATGGTGTGGGCATTTATAGTTCCCTTGTAATTATTGATGATGTGACTGCTAACAAAAGCATCAGGGTGAATTATGAAGTGTTTTGGACAATATTTTCTGCCCATGTTCAGCCTAATGCTTCAGAACTCATTGGATGGTTTTTCCCAGTTTAGATGGTAATGGTAAATGTAAATGGACTGTACTTATATAGCGCCTTTCTATCCATCAGGGACACTCAAAGCGCTTTACACTGCAGACATTCACCCATGCACACTCACATTCACACACTGATGATGGCAAACTACAATTGTAGCCACAGCTGCCCTAGGGCACACTGACAGAGGTGAGGCTGCTATACACAGGCGCCACCGGACCCTCTGACCACCATCAGTAGGCAAGGTGGGTAAGGTGTCTTGCTCAAGGACACAACGACTGAGTCGACTGGATGGGAATCGAACCAGCGACCTTCCGGTTCCAGGTCGACTCCCCTAACCACTCTACCACAGCCGCCCCAAAAGATGGACAATGATCTTACTGAGAAAGCAACTTCTTTGTGACAGAGAAGTGAGATGACAATGGCCAAGTCAGTCACTTGACCTGAATCCATTTGAGCATACATTTTACTTGCTGAAGATTAAACTGAAGGGGAAATGCCCCAAGAACAAGCAACAACTGAAGACAGCAGTAGAGGCCTGGCAGAGCATCTCCAGGGATCAAACCCAGCATCTGGTGATGTCATAGTAATCTAGACTTMTGGATTTCCAAATAATAAAAAGTGAAAATTTTGATTTATGATTGTTAAGTGGTTCCATTACTTTTATTCCTTAAAATGTAGAAGGCACGTCTAGAACTTGTAATTCTGTTCACCCAATTTGGATATAAAAACCTTCAAATTAAAGCTGAAAGTCTGCAGTTAATAATTATCGTGTTTATTTCATTTCAAATCCATTGTGTTGATGTCCCAAWATTTATGAACCTGACTGTAACTATACCCAAGAAGTCAATTAAACGTATATAGCTTAGCTTGGAGCTCAACCAGACCTGTACATAATTAAACCCAGGAGTTCAACTATAGCTGAGAGCTCAAGTAAACCCAAAAGCTCAACAAGCAGCTCAACTAGCACATAAAAAGTCTACTACATTGTTGATTTGATGTGGACTGGTGAGGTTTTTGTGGACTAGTCTTGTATGTGAGGACCCATCTGGTTTGGTTTGGTTAGTCACAGTTTATTGGCCTACTTGGTTCTTCTTTTGGCCACAAGGGATGTTGTTCCAAAGTCTTATTGTGGTCATGTTTCAATGATGTTTGCTGAGATTGTACCGTGAATGTTTCATTGATGCTGCTCTGCTCCCTCTTTTCTCCCAGGTCTCTCATGTTCTACAGATATTTGCAGGATGAGAGGCCTGACTGAGAGTGATGTCTTGTATTTTATAGGTCATCGTCTTTGTATGACAGAGGCTGTGGCAGATTCATCTTCATCTTTCATTCAGCATTTCCATAGTTTTATTTCTTCAGTAAGTATCTCTGTTTTCTACTCAACATTCATCAACACGAACAACTGCTTCTAGTCATTAGATCATTCATTCATTTACAAAATTTACAATTTTATTTGTGCCATTGAAGAAATTTAGTTATTTATAGATTAGTACTGATATCAGAAACAACACCAGAGTATTAGGATTTTCTTATTATAACACTTTTATAATGTTTGATCTATTATGTGTTAACTGAAATAGAGTAGCTACATGTCCGAATTATATAACAACACATAAAAAGCTGTCTTAACATTAGGGTGAGGTCTTTGTCTGAATGCCGGTGATTCAGCCGTAGGTCAGCAGGGGGCGAACTCAGGCATTGAAGATTCTGTATAAATCCTGATCCATTTCCTGGTTATGGCAGTGTGGTTTGGCTTGTCAGCCGGTGACAAATAAACCTCACTCGTCTCTCCAGAATTCTGGTGTTGTATGACATTTATTTCATATCACAGATCATTTTATTTAACACTTGTGTTTTCATCTGATTTCAGCCGATATTAAACACGTATTTCTTACACCATGACACCAGAACAAGTCCAGATACTGTACACCCAGAAATAATGTTGTCTATGAAAATGTACAAAAAGGCTTTCTGGTAACTAGGGTTGGGCGATATTGGCAAAAAAATTAATCACGATTATTTGTGGTATTTAGCCGATAATGATTAATTTGATGATTAATCCCCTGGAGTCCCTGGACACCCTTATGTCCTGGTCACATGACTAATTTAGTTGGAAAGATTTGCTCTTCATAAAAATCTGTTCCAAACTGTCAAAATTACAGACAGGCTATACATTCGGGCTATACATCAAATTTTAAATTGTGTTGCTAGATAAATAAATTTCAGAATTTATTTTTTTATGTTCGTTATATTTGAAGCGGAGAGGAGCACCGAGTGGACTGACCGGGGAAATATCTAGTCAATCTGCCTGGTGACATTAATCGTATTAATTGTCGAGTGCCAAAAAATAATCGATTAATGTTTTTCTGATGATTAATTGCACACAACGTTACCAGTGGTAACGTTAAATGGTTTTCTGATTCGTGATTGTAAAACAGGTGTGTCAAACTTACAAAGACCCATTCTTCATCATCACATCAGGTTTATAGTTTTATGAAATTCTTTTTTGAAAAATTAACAAATGAAAATAGTAAAAGTAACCTTGACTTATCATTTAAAAAGTAAAATATTGCATAATAACCTTTTTTCCAGCAGGCTACAGTTTAGTCACTTAGAAATGACTTGTGTAAGTAGTATTAGAACTTTTAGAAGAATATTACATGTTGCAGCACTTGTGAAAACAATACTATTTTGTAGTCTTAAAATTTAATAGAGTATTTACTTTGGTGAAAGAGAACAATAATTTAAAACAAATACTTTTGATTAATGAAGTTATAAAGAAAAATAAATCTTGTTTTAAACCATTATAAAAATTCTAAAACTTTAAAAAGACATACCCATGTGCGCCCAAAACTCTACATTGTAGCATCACCTTTTGCAGCATTGAATCTCTTCAGGTCAGTCTCCATAACCTTGGCTCATTCTTACCACTGGAATGTTTGTCCATGCTGCTTGTGTCCAACGATCTTTAAATCATCCCAAAGGTTATCAGTTGGACGGAGGTATGGACTGTTTCTTTGGAATATTTCAGTGTTTTGTTCTGAGTCATTCTTTGGTGTTTTAGGCTGTGTCATTATCCTATTAGAGGATCAGTGACCTGCGTCTGAGATCAAGCTTTTTGACACTGGGCCACACATTTTGCTCCAGATTGCTTTGATGGTCTTGAGATTGACATTTCTCCATGTTTAACTGTAGATACTGTTCTTTTCTTTATATTCTTCTTTTTTGGCTCTTTGAACATGGATCAAAAATGACTTTTTGCCTAAAAGCTCCAGCTTTTTCTCATCTATCTAAAGGATATTCTTTCAGAAGCGTTGTGTCTTGTCAATATGCATTTTGAATTCTAGTCTTGCGTTTTTGTAATTTATTTTTCTCCTTGGTCTTCTTCCATTAAGTTCACTTCACTCCGCGACTGACGTACTTTGATCTTATGGTGCGTTCACACCAAACGCGATTTCAGCGTCAGGAGCAGCAGGTTTACATACAAAGTCTATGGTGGACGCGCTTCAAGCRACGTCGGGAAGTTCTGCGGCGCCTCAAGCGCGATTAGAGCAGCGCGATTTGAACGATTTGGACGATCTGAGCGTCGAACGCTCAGATCGTCCAAATCGTTCAAATCGCTGAAGTTAGAAAATCTGAACTTTTGCAGCTCGACGCGCAGCGTCAACCAATCAGAGAGACTCCACTGTGTGACGTAGCGACATATTTCCCGACGGGACAGTTTACTGAATGACGTCCACTAACCTGAAACAGACAGAGAGGAGCTCTTCAGCTGAAATGACTGCCTGCAGTCGTGTCCTGACCCGCAGCAATGCGTGGCAGCGACTCATCAGACTGGAAAAATAGTCCTGAAAGCGAGCTGTGAGCCTCTACTCTGAATTATCTGGTGAATTAATTGTGAATTAATTATCTGATGAACGTGGCACGCTCTTGCTCTCTGTAAATAAAGCAAAGTCACTTCCTCGTCCGACATTAAACGGAGCCCGACAGAGGGGGGAGGGGCGGGGAGGCTGTCGCCGTGCAGCGCTTCAACAACTGTCCTGCGTCTGACCTCAAAGTGCACAAGCTTCAAACTTCAGCGTTGGCTGCGATTTTGAAGCTGAAATCGCGTTCGGTGTGAACGCACCATTAGAGTTCAACTCTAGTCTTTTTAGAAGTTGTTCTGGGCTCATTGGTTATAATTTGTATTATGTCCTTAAATTTTCATCAAGTTTCATCTTGTAGCCATGTCCAGGGTTAGTTACAAAATCCTTTGCCATCTTGATTATCAACGGGATGCATCCCTGTGCTAAAGTCCTTGTCTTCCAACCACTTTAGTTGAAATCTGCATTTACACGGTTTGTCTCTGCTCCTAACATTTCCATGATTCCCCTCAGATGTGCAGTCTTCCAATTGTGCAGGCAATCACTAAAATGGTTCCACGTGTTATTTTAATACACATCACAACAATATTTCATAGCTGAAATTCCCTGATTACCAAGTCTGACTGAGTTGTTCCCAAAATTACTCTTTTATTTTTCTTGAAAACTAATGAAAATATTTAATTCCACTGAGATTCAAATGTTCTACTTTTAATGCCATTTAAGGCCTTCAATTTTGGACAGTGTTTTGAAAAACTTTTAATGGCCTACAGAAACTTTTCTTCATAATTATTTTCTTTCTAAGCATCTGAGACAACTCTTTTCTGAGCCTTCTATGATACTGAACAGCACTGTGACTACCAGTGCTTTTCACCCTTTTAATAGGAAGAATAAATAATTACAAAATTAGTCACCTGTGTTGCTAATTACAAGACAGTTGATGTGTTTCTATGGTCAAATTATTTACAATTTTTCCTAAAGGTACCATCCTTTTTGTCAGAGCCATTTTGATTAGTTTGTACTTAAAATAATTCTGGTGAAACAAATTAGTCTTTTTTTTTGTTATTTTTACCAGTTTCAAGTTATTTCAGGGACTTTGTGGATTTTTCTTTCTTTAACACAAGGATACGAACATATTTGTCAATTTCTGTATACTTTTTTACCAGAATTTAGGGCTGTGAATGCTTGGTGATGAATCTCATGTGGAGAACTCACAGGACAGTACATTTGACACCAACCTTCTGCAGTAATTGTAAATGCTTAAAATTATTACATTGTTGGCAGTTACAAGGCTCTGTTAAATATAAAACATGAATATTAGTATTTTGACAAACTTTGTGTTTTTCAGTTGTTGTTTCACTAAATAATTGTTTTGGTTGTTCGTTAAAGGTGTGGTAGTACCATGAAAAGTGGAGGAAGGGCAAAGGAGCCACCTGTTGCAGGGGAGATCACTGGCAAACGACCCAAACGCAAATGCCTGCAGTGGCACCCTCTTCTCTCCAAAAAGGCACTAGACTTTTCTGAGGAGGAAGAAGAGGAGGATGAGGAGGATCTGGAGGATCTGGAGAAGGTGGGTGTTTTCAGTGGTGTGGAGTTACATAGAACAATATGTACATTAATTCGATAGATTTGGCATAGCATTGCACTTTTTGACTTTTGTCATCAGCAGCCAGTGCTGTGCAGTAAGGACCAGGTGCAGAGTGGAAGCACAACAGAAGAAACGGAGGAAGACTCCAGTGAACAGCGGGCACGCCGGCCAATGAATGCCTTCCTCCTATTCTGTAAACGCCACCGTTCCCTGGTTCGACAGGAACACCCTCGTCTTGACAATCGGGGGGCCACGAAAATCCTGGCTGACTGGTGGGCTGTGTTGGAGCCCAAAGAGAAACAGAAATACACGGACATGGCAAAGGAGGTAAAACTACTGAGACTACTGTGTGTTGGCATTGTTTCAACTCGTGCTCACAGTTCTGGCAAAGTTAGAAGTGAAGTAGAAAACCTGTTTTTGACTTTTATCCAAATTGTTTGGATGTTTTGTCTGGTACTGAAACAAAAAGTGGGCACAGATAAATCTGTCAGTATTACAATGTCAACTGAAGCAAAATCATGGTCAAATCATCCGTGTATATCTTAAAATTAAGAATATGGACACTTAATAGTAAATGGACTGAACTTATACAGCACTTTTTCTAACCTCATGGGGACCCCAAAGCGCTTTACACTACAGACATTCACCCATCAAAGCAGATTCACGCACTTATGGTGGTAAGCTACATTGTAGCCATAGATGCCCTGGGGCACACTGACAGAAGTGGGACTGCCATGCACCAGTGCCACAGGACACTCTGACCACCATCAGTGGCCAAGGCAGGTGGTATCTTGCCCAGGGACACAACGACTGAGATAGCTGGCCGGGGGATCGAACTGGCGACCCTCCTGTTACAGGGCGACTCCCTTAACCACTCCGCCACTACTATTTAATAACAACAACAACAACAATAATAATAATAATAATAATAATAATAATAATAATAATAATAATAATTCTTCAAGATACACTAGTAAAAACAAAACATAAAAAGATGCATATACGTTAATGAAATTAAAGGCCTAGCGTTCCTTGTAAAAATGCATTTCACTTTGTGTTTTTGAAACACTTAAATTAAGACCTTGTGCTCTAAAAAAGTTTAATCTTTTCAAGAGACTTCTTTATTCTCAGGAGTTGCCGGTAAACTCAATTTATAAGCAAAATGTTTGCATGATGGACAGATAGGTTAACAATGACAATCAAAACTGTTCACATGTAAAAAGGCACATCAGCTTAATGATCTGATGGTTCTACATAGCATGTGAGCTCATCCAGAGGACCTACTCAACTTTTTTTTCTACCTGGATATTCATCATCTATTGTTGTTTTAGTCAAAACTTATTAATGGTGTTATGCACCAGATCATGGAAGATGTTTTAGCACATGTGTTAGAGAATATCACAGGGATCATCAATTCCGGTCCTCAAGGTCTGCAACCCTGCATGTTTTACTTGTTTCTCTGCTCCAACACTCCTGATTTGAATGAATATATGATTATCAGGCTTCTGCAGAACTTGGAAGAGGTAATTCACTGAGTCAGGTGTGTTAGAGTGGGGAAAATGTAAATCATGCAGGGCTGCGGACCTCGAGGACTGGCATTGRTGATCCCTGGTATCATGTGGGTGATTCCCAGCTATGACCACAGAAAATGTAGGTAAATATTTGTAAAACTGAGTTATAGCCCGTTTTGTTGACTAATGTTAATTATAAGTGGCTGCCATCTTAAATTGTGTTTATTTTAAATAATAATGCATTGTTGGTTCAAATCAGAGATTTGTTTCTGAGAGTTTCATTAAAAGTTGACTGGTCCCTGAGATATTTTGCTCATGGACAATCAGGGTTGACACCAACAGTTAATAGAAAAATTTCAAACAAAAATATAATAATAAATAACATAAGTTGAGGTTCTTCTTCCATGAAGCAGCTCTGTTGTCAGTTCCAGGCTGAGTCATTTCTACCTTCTCCTCTCTGTCAACGCTCTCTGGTTTCATTTAAAAGAGTCGATCATCAGATATTGTCCAAGATTAACCTTCAGGGTGGATATAGCTCGATAGCAGCCTCGCACCGAGGACCTATCCACGTCCTCATTTACCCAGAATGCTTTGTGTGTAAATAAAATGGCTCCATCCGTGTTAAACTTAAGAGCAGAGGACACATCAGCTTGACGACAGCAGGTCTTCAGTAAAAATATTTTTCTCATTTTGGTAAAAGTAAATAATCATAAAAAATAAAGCAGAGAGGTTCAACAGCAATGTCTGTGATGTGTTCAGCCAATGGGATAATATAGGATTTTCATGAGCAGATTCCCCAGTGCATCTCTAGCTGCAAAATAACAAAATGTGTAATAAGATGAAGGGTTGCAGTTATTTTCAGTTTACTGTACTTCTGTTTTTATTATCGGTAATTGTTAAAAATACATGATGCTTCCAGAGGCTTCAGTGGCCAAGAGGARTTCCTTCTGTGTGAAGCTTGTGTGGCAAGAAAACTTTTTGATTCTGATTAAATTAGTTGCATTACTTACCTAAAGTGAATGTTTTGCTTTGTAGCTAAATCAATTTTGTGTGCCTTTCTAGTACAAGGATGCCTTTATGAAGGCAAACCCAGGCTACAAATGGTGTCCCACCACAAGTAAACCAGTGAAGACCTCTTCGTGTCAGCCAGTCGGCAGTCCTCGCAAAAAAATTTGGTCCTTATCGTGCAACTCGCCCAAGGATTCCACTGCCAAAAAAGTGCCCAAAAGTGAGAGTTTGCCCCAGTTAAACTTTGCCATGGCAGGTGTGTATTTAAAATGTGTTGTTTTTTAGCAAGATGATAATGCCTGGGATTTGTTTTGTAACTTGTGTCATTTTTTTGTAAGACCCTACAAAGATGGGAGGCCTGAGTATGCTGCTCTTAGCTGGTGAACAAGCCCTCACCAACAGAGAGGTAGATTCATCCTTTTACCTTGATTTTGATTAATACTTGTGCAAATATTCTTTTTATTAAAGATGTCAATTAGGGTTGGGCAATACTGGCAAAAAAAATAATCACGATTAATTGTGGTATTTAGCCGATGATTAATTTGACGATTAATCCCCTGGAGTCCCTGGACACCCTTATGTCCTAGTCACATGACCAATTTATTGGGAAAGATTTGTTCTTGAAAAATCTGTTCCAAATTCTGTCAGAATTACAGACTTCAGGCCATACATCAAATTTTAAATTGTGCTGTTAGATAAATAAATAACGGAACTATTTTTTTAAATGTTTGTCATATTTGAGAGGAGCACCGAGCGGACTCTGCCCTGTGGCATTAATTGAATCAATCGTCAAGTGCCAAAAAATAATTGATTAATGTTTTTTGATGATTAATTCCACACAATACGATTATGCCCAATTCTAATGTCAATATAAAGGCACTGAAGTGTCTTTACGATAATCATGTTCAGTTTTTGTCCTGRGTTGCACAGTTTGGAAATGGAAAACTCAGAAGCTAAAACATGTGGCTCATTCAGGAAGTGTTCTCTGAGGTTTGGTCGGAAATTCACCAAAAACTGGGGATAAGAAGGATTTTGACAAAATGTATGAGGAACCTGTGAGAAAACCCAGCTCCATTAAGATCTGTGTACCTCAGACATATTTGACAATGCAAACATTTTTCAAAGTTTAAACATGTGACAGAAAATTTGATGTTACATGATTGAACTGGCATCTTATCTTTATGGTGTTTACATGGTCTCAGTATAGGTAAAAAAAAATATTTCTACAGAATGTTGAGGTTATAAACACCACAAGTTTGGACTTGTGTGACAACATCAAGGTTGATGTCACACAGTTCATTTTGATAAATACTCAAATTATATATTCAAATGTTGGCAGGTTCTTTCTTCTTTCAACTAGCGTGTCTCTCACTGCTCAAAGGCCCAGCCAAGTTTTCAAATTCAGCTACATTTTAGCTCAAAATATTCTCTTCAAAATGTGAAGTGAAGGGTCTCTTAGCTTGTAATATCTCCAAAATTAAACACCTCAAAACAAAATAAAACCAATGTGTGGCTATCATTCTTCTGCTGCCCTCGCTTCAAGAGCATTTCAGATCACACAACGGTCGTCCAACTCAATCATTTGGCAGTCAGGGAGTGAGACACAGGTGTGGTTACCATGATGAACATAATGAGCCATTGACAACAGCTTTAGCTTTTTTTTTATCTTGGTTCTCTTTACACTTCTTCTACAGTTCATAAATCAAATGTTGGCATTTTTTCTCATTTTTCATTACAAAGTTATGTTGGAGTTTTGGGCAGAAACTAAATCAGCATCTTTCAGAATCTCTTCAGAAATGTTCTGGTTTTCACATTGCAGTTTTGAGTTGAAGTTTTATGGCATCACCAACCCAAGTAATATTTTTTTCCAGATTCCTTCAAGCACTAAACCTAGTTTACCTGACAAGGTGGATGAAGAAAGCTCATGTCCAGAGGAAAAAGAGGAGGTGTGTCCATTTTCTATCTCCTGCATAATCAATCCATAATTAAATTTTATATTAGTCTTGTGGAAACAGATGATAACTGAAAATTTCTAGCCAAAACCAGTTGTCCACTTTAGGTTAAAACATCTATTACAGCATTTTTTTTTCTGTCATTTATTTATGCATCACCTGACTTTGAATAATCGGTGTATATTTATGAAAAACTCTGCATTAAAGTAGTGTGTGAAATGTAAAAACACCAGACTGTCCCCATACTGTAGTGACCACTGGGTAGTGAGCCAGCAAGCTTTTCACAGTTTTTGTGTTACTACAAATGATGTTAGCCAGCCACATAGACTTCAACGAATAGTACCTCAGTACCTCAACTAATGTGTCCTTTAATATAACTTGTTAAATTTGCATGAATGCACCATCATTATTGAAGATAATGTGAAAGCTTTATGCTAATGTGAAATGAGCTAATGTATGCTTTGGGTTCATGGTTTTGTGCCTTTTGATCTTCATAAAGCCAATGAATGAGTTTATTTAATCGATAGACTTTTTTTTGTAGTGACCCAGTAATCACTTGTTTCTGATTTCTACAGATACCGTCTCAGATTATTCCAAACAGAGTGCCTGATGTTCCTGCAAGCAGGGTAAAGTCAACCCTTTCTGCAGTGGAGGAGGTAGGAGCTACAGTAATTACAGATGTTATGTTACCATAACTGAGTCATTTTTATTCCAACACCAGATACAAATTATCTGCACACTTCCTACTAAAGTGTGAATCAAAACTTTTCTCACTGTAAATTGAAATCGCAAATATATTGAACCCAAAACTCTGTTAGATTCATGAAAAAATGAACTTTTTGGGATAAGTTAGTAGGTATTTAATGTAACCAGTAAATGTAAACAAAAAGGAGTTATGCAAATTCCAACCAATAAATAGATAATAATAATAATAATAATAATAATAATAAATTCTTGGATGTTTGGTAAACTATAGGACTTCTTATCCAAGTGCAGCAGCCTATAGAACTAACTGCAAGTGTGGAAATTAACTTTAAATTCAGTCAATAACAAAAATTTTACAAGACCCAAGACAATTTTGTCTGTCATATAATGGAGAAAGTAAAATAAATACAATACAAAAATAACATTTTCAAGTTGTGTGCATATTTCACACAAATCCTGTTTAATAAAAGAAAATAAATGACTTTTTATGACTAGTTTTTTTTTTTTTTTTTTTGTATGGCACATGTAATAAGACTGCATAGTATTAGGAAAATCTTATGATGTTTATGTTTCATTTTATGACGACGTTATGAAATGCAATTGGTTGATCAGCTAAAAGATTGCTTTAAAATAGAGCAAAACCTTTCAATATTACAGCAAATCTACAACAAAAGTGGTTTTATTATTTTAATAGACTGAAAATACTAGTTTATGCTATGAAAAATAACTAAATAAATTAGTCTACTAATGCTTTTACTCATAACCAACAACCAAAACAGCGAAATAAAATGTGATTTAATCAATAAGAACAGAAGAACTGTGAAAACAAATGTTCCCAATGGAAATGGTTTATATCACATCAGACCACTGGGTGGCCCCATTAATTCATCCTGATGACTATAGTCTATGGTAGACTGGAGATTGTTTTTTGATAGAGTTTATTATTTCATTTAGTGGTGTTGCTCCAATTGTTTATGTCATCAAACACTATTTRATTTTAGAAATCGCATAGACAAAATTCGTTTTTTTCCACCTGGACTAAAGTTCTCACCCTTAAACGACCTATAACTTTATGTAATATACCTTGAACAAAGCACTGATTAATGTGTGTTTGTTGTTGGATCATCAGTGAGCACAGATTGACAAAACTAAATGTTTGAAGAAAGCTTATGGATCTGAATCAAAAGATACACATGGAGCAGAAAATGAAGAGGGAAAGAAACAATACTGCCACCTTCTGCTTCTATTGTAGTTCTTTTTTTAAGCTGTTGAAAATGATAGTTAGTAATGATAGTAGACRTGTTTTTTATGTTTAACTTAGCTTATAATAACAGTTCCAAATGTTTCATGTTCAGAGCTTGCAAGGTGCATCTAAACAGAAAAAAGCAGTAAAAAAATCTTTATAGTACTGATTGTAGTTAAACTCATTTAAGACACCTTAAATCCAGGATAACTTGACAATCACACTAATTAAAACAAAWTTTATGACCACAGATTTGTCTGTCCTTTTTTAAGATAGATGTATAATTTGTTGCCCAGAGTAAATATTGCTTTGTAGTAATAGAAGCTGCAAAATAATTTTTTWAAACAGTTCAACAAGTAACAAAGCTTGCTGTGGTGTGTCTACAGTCTTTGCTGTCAGTGGCCCCTGAGGGAAAACCATGTGGACAGTCTGCTCTCTTCCAGCTTGCTGAGGTAAGCAAGTCAAATCTTTAAACAGAGAAGACAACAATGTTGTTGTGTTTGTGTGTTTTCCTGTGAGCACTGATAAAAATGGAACTGGTAAAACCTCTGGTAACTAAAACCAGTGGTTCTTAAATGTTTATGTTGCAGAAGAGAGAAAAAATACTTTATTTTCTGTTCAAACCAACGGTCACATTTAGCTCCTACCAAAGATCTAACAATTTAAAAGAAAGCCTCTGATATTCTCTGTTCATTAAATGTTCTCTTGTTTCAATTAAAAAGGTAAACTTGTTTTTATTTTTTTCTGTAGTTCTGTCCTCTGGACTGAACTTAGAAAGAACAATCAACAGTAATTCCAACTACAAGATATCTCCTGTCTGTTTTCTCTAAGTGAAGCAGCTCAGTGGGTTCACATTTATCAATGATACACTCTATCCCAAGCAGCATTTTAACCAGTGCAGCATCGGTATGTCCTGTTATATTTTCCAAACTTTACCACTTAGGGTGACTCCAACAGACTGCAAACCTTTGCCCCGTATAAGAGGAATAACATTTTTACTCTGCATGTCTGCACTTCTATCCAGGTCATGTTATAGCTGAAGAGTAAGGACTGGGCCCACTCTCACCTCACAGTCCACCAAATAACGTTTTGTGTAACACAAAAACCAGTCATAGATCAAGGATTACTTGATTCTAGTCCCACCTGCACCTTTTCTAGAAACAAAGTAATTTTAAAAAGCAATAATCTGTTCCTTTTTGTTGTTTGTCTTGTTGTGTTTTACTTTATTTAGCATTTATATTAGTTTTGGAACTAGAAAAATGTTTAAACATAAGGAAAGAAGCAAAAGCTACATCTTGTATATACAGTACAAAACTTTTTTCTCGTCTCTGACTCCAATCAGCTCCACGGCAGTACAGCAGTCAGACTTCAGTCAGCCAGAAGGCCTTGGTACCTTATCAGAAAAGCCAAACAAAGCAGAGTCTCAGGAGCAGCCTGCTCTACGAGACTGCACACAAAAACTAACAAAAACCTCTCCTCATGCAATGATGAGCCAACCTTTTAACATATGTCTTCTTGGTCACACACCCCTGAAGGTGGTAACTTTTAAGTCAGATTAGAACGTAACCAACTTTGTTTTGAAGACAGAAAGAACACATTGATAAGACACACCAACTCTCATTCTGTTTTAAACCATATGGCTGCAATCAGAATGTGTAAAATACAATACTGGATCCAACGTTCAGTTAAAATTTCCTTCAGTGTCACAGAATGACTGAAAGAAGGAGCTCTGCTGGAAAACTTGACGACAAGTTTTCCAAATACTCTGACATCAATTAATATGATGGTAATCACAAACTCCCACAATAATTTAGCTGTAATTTAACTGTGTGCATGCATCTTCTTTGTGCTTTATGGCAGTCACTCAGTTGATCAGTCTCAGACAGTTGCTGTCTCAATTCATGAGTTGCAGCCAACGTCGGCTGCATTTTTGGCCGCTTGTGTCACTGCCCCGCGCCGTAGTCTGTCCCAGTTCCAACCCCGAAAATGTCAGCTGCATCTGAGTATCATATGTGGCCAGCGGCCCCCAGAATTCATTGTCCTGTCAGCAAATTAAACAGAAAAACAAAGACGGCAGAGGGTTTTTAAAATTTAAATTTATTATTCCCAAAAATATCTTGAGATTAATCGCAATTAAAAAATTTTAATCTATGCCCAGCACTAATTAAATTACACATCTACTGACTGCTCAGTACTAAATATTCTACTGATTGCCTTTTTTGCTTATATGATTACACTTTGCCAACATAATCCCAGTACAATTGCGTACCTTTTCAGTTAGTGCAATTTAAATGGACCATGTAATGTGCCAGCAGGTGCCATCATTTAATCGATTTAATCTAGTAAACAATTATTCGACTATTAATCGTAAGTCGATTAATTGTTTGCATCCCTGATCAGTAGGCAAGGTGGGTGAAGTGTCCTGTCCACAGCAACGCTACAAAGTTCCCTCTATATTTTTGTGCAATAACAGGAAAGGCGTTCCATTCTGTTCTGTTCCGTTCCATTCTTAAAATATTCCACTAGCTCACCCAAACGTCAGGTTGCACTCTAAAGTGTCACAGAAGGAACTAGAGATGATTGTTCATGCTTTTATTTCTTTTTGTTCAGATTATTGTAACAGCCTTTATAAGTGTCTAAACAAATCCTCCTTGGCTCACCTTCGGTCTGTGCAGAATTTTCTGCAGCAAGGCTGTTCACTGCAAGGCTGCACACATTACTCCTGTAAAAAAAATGTCACTTTATCCAAAAACATTGTTCCCTCTATAAAAGCTGTTTGATTTATAAAAAGACAAAATGCCATTATTTATAAACTCAGTAGTTTTAAGTGAAATAGTCTTTTGTTTGTAATAACCATCAATAGCACTTGGTGTGTCTTTGATTCATCAACAACTGTGTAGGTGCACATATCAGAATTGCCAACATTGTTAACATTGTTCCACAGCCGTAAATCAGACAGTCAAAAGAGTGCGATAGATTTGTCAACATTCATTTTTTTACCCACCAGAATTTTGAATACATATGTAATTGAGTGTGTTTGTACCCATTTGTTAAAGAAAAGAAAATACACAAAGATCACTGAAATGACTTGAAACTGACAAAAGTAATAAGAACAATTATTACTAAAACTCAACAATGGCATTCTGTCATTTCTTTAGAATTTTGGTCCACCCTTCTTTTTTTTGTTAGTTTGAAAACAATAATGAAACTGAACTTGACAAAAAGGATGGTACCCCTAGAAAAGTTTGAAAGTCGTTTGGCCATGTACAGTAGACATAAACCTAGATGTGTCCTGTTATCAGCATTACAGACAATAATTAGTCTTATAAACTTTCTGGGAGGAAAAAAGAGTCTCAAACTTTTCTACACTAGAATATGTATTCAATCCATATTCATTGCATTCCTATGCAGTTTCACTCTATTCTAATCGCCCTTCTGCTCTGTCTGGGCTTTCTCCCATAGACAAGGATTTCTCTGGTAGACTTTCAACCGATCCAATCAGCAAACAGAAGGAGGAGTTGTGAATGATTATGTCGATTTTCTGTGCTGTTTTAGTCTGCCTGTAGTTTATCAATGGCAGCCGAGGAAGTGAATAAAGCCATTCAGTCCATGTTGACAAGGTTTCCAAATTAAATTCAATTTGTCTCATAAAGCCTGCAGCACTCATTTACAGCCATCCCATTCAGCTCAGTACTTCTCTCTTCCCAGTAGAGGATGGTTGTTTACAGTGCACGCAATTTCCAGTTAACTTTTCAGAATAGCTTCCTAGCTCGCACACTACTAATGTCACAGCCAAACATTAGCAATAGGGTGAAATTAGATCCAATCATTTTAAACTTCAGCAAGTTTTACGGTTGTGCTACAATCAACACCTGCTAGTCTCATTGTCTTACTTCTCACCGATGCTTGACCAGGCATGTTGTGTTTACTGACCCTGATAGGGAAATTTGGATTATTGTAAATCTTATCACTAACACTGTTTGTTAACTATATTATTTAAATTTTTGTCCCCTCCGAAGTTTTGAATTATTTTGTTTATTTCTTTGTAACAGTGTGGCAGATCAGCGATTCCACTCTACTTCTCTAGTTATATAATACATCTCAATGTTCCCACTAAAGAGAGCAGGCGAGGACATGTGTGTGTTAATGTTTCTTGATTACTGGTATAGAAAAAGATTGAGTGAAGACATATGAAGAAAACGTTATTCAAATTAGTTTTAAGAATATGACAGCTTTGCATTTGCACTGATCGTTGTCATTATCTATATATTTTGTTCACCCAGTGTTTTTGTTGCATTTTTATTAGATGTGTTTAGCATCTGAAGCTGGAAAAATGGACTCCGCGGTAACTCAGCCAGATGACAGCTCTTTCTCAGCCTCGCTACAGCAAATACCCACGAAGCCAGAGATTAAAGAGGAGATAGTCGACACTGACCACTCTTCTCCTTCAAAACACACATCAGCACTTTGTCCTTCTCTTTCCTGTGTCACCTCTACCTCCACTGATGCCATTCCACCACAGAACAGCTGCCAAAGTGCACGTGTCAAAAAGAAGAATAAGAAGACCGAGGAGGCCGAGTCAAATGACAATAATGAGATCCCATCCTCCACAAAGATCAGCAAAACGTGCGACCACTTGGTGTCAAATATCGACTGTGTCTTCAGTACAATAGAGGCGGTGGCCAGAGGAGCCTGGATGGACACAGAAGACAAACCCAGCAAGAAGATTTGCACCAGTCTTACAAGTGGAAAATCTAGTCTGCTAAGAAAGAAAACTAACACCAAAGATAAGACCTTTATTAAAAAGAAAGACGAGAAGCTGGAAGACAGCAGTGGACTGAATGGGTCTTTTAATGTGGAGATGAAAGGAGTGTCTGACATTAACCCCAAGACAGAGACAGAAGCAGCAAATATGGAAAGCACAGACCTCCAGGCCAATGTGGTCAAACTTCCTCATTCCCACTACAGCCACTCACTTGCCAAGGAAGAGGACAATGAAAAGAACAAGGAGAGGCCAAGTGATGCAGCCGACAAAGTGAACACTGAGAACTGTGGCTCCAGGAAGTCAGAGCGCAGCTGTAAAGGTGCCTTGTATAAAACGCTTGTGTCTGAGGGAATGCTGACTTCACTGAGAGCAAATATTGATCGAGGTATTCCATTTGAATCTGTGGCAAAATCTTTATTGCAATTGATTTAAACAAATCATAGCATAGTTGGAATACCACATGCAGTAACAAAATGTTGACGATCTTTTTTTATTTTTGATATATTTCTGCAGGTAAAAGAGGAACTTTTCGTACGTTTGACCATGATACTAACTGGACTCATGACAGCTGTGCAGTTGCACAGATCGGACCTAATAATCCCAAGAAGCTGAAAAAGTCCAAGTCCAAAGACGAGTCTTCACAGTGGTTAGTGGTGTTCTTCACAGGGTACTACAGAAAGTGGGCTATGTGAAAACTCTTGAGTCAGTCGATTCTACAGGGGAACTCTGAGTTTTCTGTTGCAGAGAAATAAAATTAACTTAGTTTATGACCGTGGAARCAGTCTCTGTAAACTAAACCTAATCAATCTGACCAATATCAAAGCAGAATTACTTCATAATGTCTGATGTGAGGAGAGGAGTCCACTTTGAGAGTCCACTTACTTGAAATACTGATTTTCTTTCTCTGTTTTCTTTAAACGGTCTTAAAAAGCTATGATCCAGTATCAGTTGTGTATTTTTAAATGATGGTTGTAATATCCTTGACAGAGAATATTTGGTCTGTTTATTGGCCCTGGGATGGACTTTCTGTAAGTATTTGACTCTTCATAGAAATATGAAGTCAAAAAAATCCTATTGTAGGAAAATACAGTCAGACAGACTAAAGGACATGTCATGTTTGTCTCCATCCAACTGTGCTTTATTATCGAGGTCTTGGCAAGTATGTAATTAACATACTTGATTCTATCTTCCTTCCTTCCTTGATTCCCAGAGTGAATCAGGGTTTGTTGATGATGGATTTTCATTTCAAAGGTGCACAATATTTAAGTGAAGGTAAAAATTCTCATGGTTGGTTAACCTCACTGTGATTAAAGTCAGTTTGTTGGACCTCCTTTCTGGATTACCTCTGTGTTATATGGATTTTGTTAGTTTTTCAAGAGTTTCTACAGCGTAGTGCTTTGGTCTAACTCTAAACTTTATTTTTCAGCCTGGGGAAGTTGGAGGAGGAGTTTGAGCGAAAATTTAACAGCCTGCCACAGTATAGTCCATTGACCTTTGATAAAAAGGCCACAACTGTTGCTAAGAAAAAGAAGCCTGAAAACTCCACCAACCAAGAAGACGCAGCCAAATCTGCAAAAGGAGAGCTGTCGAACAAAGGTCACACCACTGAATACTTGACTTGAATAATCTTCTGTATATGATGTTAGTTTACAACTAAAGTTCTCTCAAAGCATTTTACAGAGGAAATAAAAGGTAAAAATCAAGTTTAGTCCAATAGAATCCAATTAGTAAGTAGTAAGTAAGTAAGTAAACTTTATTTCTATAGCACCTTTCACAGACACAAACATCACAACAACAATTAAAACACAATAAAAAGCACATTAACTAAAAGCCTGTCTGGATAAAAATGTCTTAAGATATTTCTTAAAAGAGTCAGCAGAATCTGAACAGTGAAGGGACAGAGGGAGAGCGTTCCAGAGCCACTCAATTCAAGTGTTACTGTGTTTATTCAGTCCTCCATTTGGAGCGTCCATGGTGTCTACAGTAGTGTCAATCTACACACAAACAAGCTTTGTCACTATAGACCTGTTTGCACCACACAAAATACTACCTGATTCTGGTTAAAACTACATCAGTAGGAACTAAATGTAAAAACTGTATTTTTCTAATGAAACTTAATTTCCCCAAATAGCAACTCTGGTACTTCAGCTTAAACTTTATATTTTTAAAATGGGAAGGAGTCAGCATTAATTCTGCAGAAAATGCAGTTTTTCCAGTTCTCCTCAGAACTCCTGCTGTGGTTATTTGGATCAACCAAAGGTTGTACAGAAAATGTTATTATTAATATTTTAATATTATTTATGGAAAATGCATGTCAATATTTATTCGTTTTTTGTTCTTGGTTTTCTCGTATTATCTTTTGTTTTATTGCTTAGAATCTCTTGGAAATAAGCCACATTTTTCTCTGTGAATCAAAGACTAAAAGAAAATTGTACAGTATTGTTGTTTTTGTCACCAAATCTTCTACTAAAAACATTTTAAAATGCTGATTTTATAGTTTTTTTAAATTATTTCTATGTGAACCTGTAGAGGCACAGATAGACTCCACATCACTGGATTCAGCTCCAAAAGCCAGACCATGTGCTCCTGTGGCCCTGATGATTCCAGATGTCCAAGGAACCACTTGTATGGAGTCGCTGGTTGGGAGCCAGAAGAGGAAGGCTAGAAAGACCAAGATCACACACTTAGTGCGTACTGCTGATGGCAGTGTGTCTCCAGCTGAAGGTGAGTCCTGAATCACTGCCTCTACATACATCTACAGTGCTGCAAAAAGAAAGATTCACCTTTCTTGCATGTTTTGTTTTTTGCATTTTTCTCATACCTAAGTTTCTCCAATAATCAAATAAATGTTAATATCAAAGAAAGATAAACTGAGTGAATACTAGAGATGCAACAGAAGCTCAGATAACGGAGGGGTGGTTTAATATATAGAACAGTTCCACCCCACATAACAGGGGTTTCTGTCTTTGTTCATAAAGAACCACAAATGAAAGATCCTATAAACCTTAAACATGCACTGTTCTAGATTATAGTGTTATAGTGTGGTTCTCAGTCGGAAAAGGGTGGATTGCTCTCTCCAGGTTTGGGGTGAGGTTCTTTCTCAAGTGGAGGAGTTCAAGTATCTTGGAATTTTGTTTATGAGTGAAGGAAGAATGAAGCGTGAGATTAATAGACTGATGGGTGCAGCTTTGCAGTTTTGCAGACTCTGTTTCGGTCTGTTGTGGTGAAAAGGGAGCTGAGCTGTTAGGCAAAGGTCTTTGTTTACCAGTCGCTCTACGTTCCTACCCTCACCTAAGGCCACAAACTTTGGGTAGAGACCGAAAGAATGAGATTACAGATACAAGCGGTCAAAATGCAGGGTTTCCCCCCAGAAAACCAGCTAAGCCCGGTGGTAGGACCACTTTGGCAGCCCACCAGCGGCCCACCATGTTTTTGTTCAAAAATGTTAAAGTTGACAGGAAATTTGAAAATATGACGTATTGTACTTATATTGTTGACAATACTTAAACACCCACTATAAGCTGGCAGTTATTTAAAACTTACTGCATATTAAAATAGTAAATTATTAGTTTTAAATGAATAAAAACCAAAAACGAAATTTGTTTTTTGAAGTTTACTAAGGAAAAAATTCACAATAAATGTACAAAATATATAAACTACGTACAGTAAATTTTTTTTGTAAACAAATGAAAAAACAGTCCAAAAATGAAAACTATATACATGGCGTTTATTCCCCTTTCCCCTCAAACTCTCAGTCTTTGTGATACTGCCAGAAGCAGTTCCTATCAAGCTGCAGACACAGTCCTACATCACATTAGGCACATGGTTCTACATCATCATTGCTCCATTTCAGTCCTCCATCTGAGAAGATTTGGTGAGCAGCTTCTGGTCTCTCATAGCATCCACATCACCTTCAGCATCCTCACTGCTCCTCTCTCTCTGGCTTCAGCCTCCACGTCCACTGCTGGCTGCTTCAGCCTCTCCCTCCTCCCAAACTTGAAGATGGCAGGTCCTCACTACAAGACAAAAAGAAAGTAGCAATAAATATTCACCTAGTCACACACAATATATATCAGGGTTCGACAGAATTTTTTGTCTTTACCTGCCCGACATAAAAAGTTACTTGCCCAAAAAAAATGTTGAAAATTTGATAAAATAYAAGAAAAACATGTAMTGTATTTATACTACAAATCTATTAACATGGTTACACAGAGAGGTACATAATATATGACATCTTATTTAGCAGATGGAAACATTGCAGACTAAGTCACTTGAAACAGGGTTCCCACGGGTCCTTGAAATTCTTGAAAGTTTTTGAAGTTGTAAAAATGATTTCAAGGTCCTGGAAAGTTTGTGAAAACAGCCAAAAATTACTTATCCTTGAAAGTCCTTGAATGTTTTTTGTGGATTGAAATTCTCTGTTCACACGACTGATTTTCATCATCTGAAAAAAAATAAAATAAAATAAAAAAGCTTACATTTGTTGCGGTGGATAACTCAGGATTACGGTAAACTGACGTGGCTTTCAACAAATAATGTGAGCCATAGTCGTAGCTTTAGCCAATCAGAGCAGAGTAGGGCAGGTCTTTCCTTCTGAGCCCAGGTGAAGCACCACAGCTCCTCCTGTCCTCACTGAGGGTCTGGACATGTCCACATCCCCTCCTCCCAAACTGAGCTGCTGAACCTCACAGGACATAATTATATGTCCATGYATTGTGGATATGAATGTAAGGTAAACATTTAATCCACTTTCTTTTATTGATTCTATCTCAACAACTTTCATGTTGTTCATTTTTTCATTGAATTTACATGATATTAAACCTGTTTATTGGTAACACTCTGTGGTAGCAGTAGGTAATTCCTGTTGCACCTGGTTCTTGAATTTGAGGAAAATGGTACTGGAAAGGTCCTTGAATTTGATGTTGACCAAGGTGTGGGAACCCTGCTAACAGTCAGTCAATTGTTTTATCAAAAACATCTTCAAAAACCTTTTTTAGACCTTAATGAGTTTGAAATGTTGATTGTGAGTGAAGAATTTTTAAACAGCGCTTCATGCTGTCTCTGAAAGAGTTTTGCCTGGAGGGAAACCAGGTACAAGGAAGATTGCATTGCTCCTTACTGTCGCAGGACCACTGATAGTGTAAGTCTACAACACGTTTGTGTACAGTGACGACGAGGACAAAAATAAGTTTGACACAGTTGTGCAATAGTTTGATGAACATTGGAGTGGAGTGATTAGGGGAGTCGTCTTGTAACTGGTGGGTTGCTGGTTTGATCCCCCGTTATAGCCGTTGTGTCCTTGGGCGCATTGGAGTCCAAGAGGACCTAATAAAGCGCTATTTAAAGTCGGTGAATTTACCATTTGTTGAAGTGGAATTGTCAGAAATGGTAGGAGTTTCTGAAAGAGCTGGAGACCAATTTTAAGGCGATGATGCAAAGTTTAGTTTATTTTTATATACAGTGCTTTTTCAGAACAACTGAAGGTTAAAATAGTTGTCGTATAGAATTGAACTATGTGCCTGGAAAATACAAAATACTGTACCTCCTATTTACAATATTAGACTGTGGTGTTTTGAGTTGCTATGATTTGTTTGTTTGCTGTTTGTGTTTGTGCAGGGGGAGCTACAGAGGATAAAACTAGGGACCCTAACCAGGAACAGGATAAAAAGCCATTAACCCAACACAATTTATGCAATGAAACAAGGTGCTACAGTGATAGTCATAGTCCTGGAGCAGAGAACTCTGGGAGGAGCACCGTAGCACAAGAGCTACCTGCTTTCTTCAGCTTGACTGCGCTTGCCGAGGTGGCAGCCATGGAAAACGTTCACAGGTAAACAACCAAAGCTTGTCTATCAGGCTTCCCTCCATCCTGAGCAGCTGATTGAAAACAGTGGAAAAGAATGACTCCCGTTTAATAGGAAGAAACTTTGAGCAGAAACAGGACAAGCAGCAGTCGGCCAAACACAGATTAATGATAGAAATAAAGGTTAAAACATGGATATCAGAGAGAGTAAAGACAACAGCTCAGTGAGGAAATGAGGCCAGTTTGTCCTTCAGCTGTCTAAAGCCTATAGCAGCAGAACTAAAGGGTAGCTCAGGAAACATAACCCAACCCTAAAGGAAAATCCTATAGGATTTAATAAACAAAGAAAGTCTTAAGCCTGGTCTTCAAAGGAAGTAGTGTCAGTCTCACCAACACATACTGGATGTTTGTTCCTGGTAACAGAAAGCTTTGGCTCCAACTCTACTTTCAGAAACACTGGGACCCACAAGTTAACCTGCAGTCTGAGAGGAAAGTGACAATTAGATCTATTATTTATAAGAATATAAGATAAAGCTTGTTCAGCCTCCTTAATTGGTAAATGGTAAATGATAAATGGACTGTACTTTTAGCGCCTCTCTATCCATCCAGGACACTCAGTGCTTCACATTACAGACATTCACCCATTCACACACACATTCACACACTGATGATGGCAAACTACAATTGTAGCCACAGCTGCCCTGGGGCGCACTGACAGAAGCGAGGCTGCCATACACAGGCGCCACCAGACCCTCGGACCACCATCAATAGTTCAATTAAGGGCTGAACAAGTGTTTTGTCAACTCATAAAAGAATTCACCAAAGTTTGGATATTTAAACGTGTTACAAACAGCCTGTCACAAAGATACAGTGTTTGTAGCGACCCTGTTGAGCTTTGTAAATAATGTTTTCTGTGATGTCCTGTTTCAGAGACCAGAGAGCCTTGGCTCAGAGTCAGAAGAAAGAGCTTACCCAGACTCCAGTCCTCATCTCCTGCGCTGATCAGTGAAACGCTGCTGTTGCTCTGATGAGAAGATGACTCAAACGGTGATGTTGGAGCTTTACTTTCCTCAGAAGTCACTTGATCAGGAGGGCTTGGACAGACTCCCACTTGGTTCTGTGGGGTAAAATCCAGAACCCTGTCCCTCTGCCTGTTGCTGTCTCAGTGTTTTAGCCTTCCTTTGGTCTCAGGAAGGATGCCTTTCTCAAGGAAGAGTTTTGTGTCTTTGAACTGAGGTTGTATGGGGTACTTCTCCACAGTAAGTGAATTACAGGTGGTGCGTTTGGTTCAGTTTTTGCAGAGTAGACATGAGAACTGGCACAGAAGCAAAGGAATGAGTACTAATGTCAATCATGTCAAACTACCAACAAGAACTAAAGCTCTTAAATCACCTCTAAGGCACCAGACTTACTGTATTTGACAAAACAGTCAATTATGAACACAGGAGCTGCTGTTCTACAGTTGATTCAGTCAGATGTTGTGTATTAGATTTTAAAAAGCCTTAGTTTTACTGTGGTAGATCAGCTGCTCCACTGTTCTGTAGGGTCAATCATGGCTTTTGTCAACAGTCTTATAGCTTTTCAGGTGGCCATGTTACTGCATCTGCTGTACTTAGATTGTTACTTCCTCTTAAAGGGAAACATTGTGTTTTTAAAAGTGTGTGTTTGAGGTACCTATGAGCAGTCAGAGTCTTACCTGTGGGAGACAGCAGCCACAGCAATCTCAGGTTGTAGAATCAGGGAGGATTGGAACAGAGAGACCAGTTAAAGGCTCCTTAAAACAGGGGAGTGAGTTTGGATAGTAGAACATCTGAGGTAAACTTGTGTCACTTTGGAAGTGTATGTTCTTGCAAATTGATCAACAATTTGTGACACACAGATCACGTCTCCAAAGCGGTCGGTCCATGTAGCTGCTGAATGGAAAAAAATGGTGTAAATTGAACAATTTGGGATATTTCAGCTGTTTTAAATAGTGCAAAATTAGCACAGATTTAAAGTGCCTGTGACATGCATATTCTTCAAWTACAAAAAGTCAGAGAAAACATCTTTATGTTTAAGAAAGTTTGAACAATACACATGATTTTACCCATTTCGTCCCTTAACTGGCATATTTTCTTTTGAACTTGACTCAGTCAAAGTGAAACAGGAAGTGACATCAAAGGGGAACTCTTCAACAAAGAAAACTCTCTGGTCTTTGTTTAGTGAAAAAATATTTGAACTCTGACTCTTTTTCATCTCTCAGATACTGACTCAAAATCTTAAACATCAAATGGTTCTCTACAGTCTGTGTTGTTAGCTGTTTTAGCACTTGTCTGTTCACATTCAGACATTCCCCTTTGACATCACTTCCTGTTACTTTAAAGGCAAAAATCTCAACAACTGTTCATCTCAGCGACATGAAATTTCTTTTGCAGTATTTTGTCAATTACATCTTTTCAAAAATGCATTCATATGTATTACAAAAATTTGACGTCACAGGCACTTATAAATCTTCATATTTATTTATTTTTTCTCTGAATAAAGCATACACTGCTATCAACTTCAGGTAAGACACTGACTACTCCTAAATACTGCTTACACTCCACTTAAAAACATGACATGTCCCTTTAAACTGATCTGTTCTATGCACTTGAAACATGAAAACTTTAGATTGTTGTGTTGCAAAATCCATTAGCAACAGTACATTGCTTAGTAAGGTATTCTAGCCACCAAGTAATGTCTGTAATGAACTAATTATGGTTAAGTACCTGAAACACCACCAATGCACCCCACTCCACTCCCAACCCCTTAGAGCTTCACAAAGGGTGTGTGGGAAAAACCAAGCTGCTTCCCAATGCATGGCTTTCTTTATAGAGAGGATTCTTTTAGATTTAATGTACACTGTTATGTTCAATAGAGGCCATTTTTGAGGTCAAGCCTTGTCATAATGTGGGTGGGTGGGGTGACACAACAGTGCATTTGTTTTCTAGTAAACTACAGCTTTCTGTCACTTTTTTACCTCACACACTCCTGCTGTAGAGTTCCCTCCACCTCTGGTGAAACACCACAGTATTTCAAAAGTCCATTAACCCTTTGATTGCCTCCAGCTTCAACCCAAAATGATATAAACTAACCAGGGTACATAATCGTGATCAGAATGGACAGACTTCAAGGAATAAGTACATCTTTAGTTTTTCCCTGTGGCATACGATATGAACAGCTATGGTCAGAAGTTTTTATCGACTCATCAGTGTCATGGATGTCATGTTTGTTCCAATCAGGTGTGTCAAAGCTCAGAAACCTCTTGGTTTAATGAGTGATTGACAGGCTGCTGCAGAACTTAAAGTCATGCTGAAGACGTGCAGGATGGTGGCGCTCAAGGACCAGTACTGGGTACCAGAGGTAGTCCTCCATTATTCCATTTACTTTGTGTAATGTACCACCATGCTTGGCAGCTGGTACAGTATTCTGAGGTTTGAAAGCCTCTAAACAAACTTCTCAGTTTTTTACGGAGCCCGTCCGGTGACATGGAATAAAAAAAATGTTTCATGTGGCCACGAGATAATAACGCGTGCGCACGTGAAAATTATGTTGTGGCCACCACATAGCTAATTATTGTTGTCATTTCTGTGCAGACTGTTCATTGTTTACATGGACATGTCTGAATTAAACTAATTTATTTTGATTTTAATAGAATGAATGACGTTTCTACGTCAGCACCTTACGTTAGGCATGAAGTAGCTATTTCTTAGCTTTATGTGCTGCAGCTATAAGTCCCAGGTGACAACTGGAGTTGTTTATTTGTCGAAAAAGCTTTATTTTCTTTTTTTGGATGATCAACTTTCAAAAGTTGAGCTGAGGCGCACAGAGACACGAGCACCCCTGTCCCCCTGCGCCTCAGCTGCAGAAGGAGTCTGAGTTATGCTGCGTTCAGGAACACAGCAAAAATCCGTTTCCCAACACACAACCATTCATTGTCATTCATAAATAGCCTACTATGAAAGATGATTCATTTATATTGGTATACACCAAATAATAATAATGATAATAATAATAATACATGTGCATATTTAAACCATTAAAAACAAAACAATGCAGACTATATACATAATCTGACTCCAATTTTGTCTGTCTATCACAACAAGGCTGCTCAAAATTAGCCCATTAATTATCACATGCGCACATGTTAGTCATTGCGTGCGCAGGTTTTATTTTATCGTGGCCACATGAAAAAAAATTTTTTCCATGTCACYGGACGGGCTCCATAGTTTTTGTCATGACTGACCAAACATTTCTCCAGGAGACTTTGGCTTGTTCGTATGGCCAGCTGCAGGTTTCAGTCGAGCTTGAAGTGTTGCTTTTGAAGCAGGGCTTCTTTCTTGGTCGGCATCCTCTTTGTGATAAAAAAAAAACTGGATTCACTGTGGAACAGAGACCCTGGTCTTTCAGCAGTTTTCAGGTTCTGGCATCTTGGACTTAGCTTGCTCCTGAACATCCCAACAATTTTTTTCTTTCATCTGAAGGGAATTGATGATTATTGGTTAATCCAATAAATGCTGTCAAATATATATTTTAATGCTAGCAAAGAGAAGCTATTAGCTRCAGTCAATCATGATTACTAATGAGGCCTTAAGCTTGTTAAATTAAGACATTTTAGAGTTTTTAGCACCACAGACTAAAAAGATTAGGTGAAAGTGGATATGTTGGAGCTTGTATGTATAATGTGTGTGTGTCTTAGAGAAAATTGACAATAAATTCAACTTCTGCACCCAGTTCTTATTTTTAAAAAATGATTGAAGTTGTTTCATTATTTTTCCAGCCTAAAGAAAGGACAGTTGAAATAATCAATAAAAGCTCAAAATTAGTGACATTCATGACCAAAAGTATGTAACCGTCTGACCATAACTGTATCTATGATGTGTGTGTATGTGTGTGTGCAGTACTGTGCTGTGCAGATGTTTTAGGCAGGTGTGTGGAAATGCTGTAAATAAACACTTTCACAAACGTAAAGTCTTACAGTTTACAATTTTTATTTAAAAAAAATCATTGTTAACAAACAAAAGCCAAATGTAAACGGTTAGCTGTTTACACTCATGCAGCCCTTCTGTAACGTTACCTAAGCACTTTAAAACATGTCCATTCTGTGAGTGTTTACCATTAATTCGATGGTGTCACTACAATTCTTTTCAGTATATAATTCTTACGTACTTATACTACTTATTCTACTTGGTCTTGTTTCCATCTGGGGTATTATGGTGTTCAGATCAGTTGGGTTAGACCACTCTGGACTTGTGTAACCGGATCCAGCAGGTTTCTGACAGTTTGGCACCGAGGAAGATCTTAATTGTATGAAAAGGAAATCAGCACAATGCTTCTTGATTCTGCTGCACGGGTTCACTGACTGACCATTTCAGCGTWGCAAAGTTCTTGGTGTTTCTTCAGCGGACCTTGAACACCTCAAGCTGAACCTCCTGTCTTCACCTGACAGACACTTCACTGATGTCGTAGAACCACCTTGTGTCTTGTTGCTGAGCTCAGTCCTGCCATGTTGACTGACCTGTGTGACGTGAAAACTGTCTTCCTCACTTTAGGCGTTTATGCACTGCAGGGCCGGCCCCGGCCTGGCCCGACTTCGAACCCAGGTTCGGCTGTTGTGCATAAGCCAAAGTAGGGCCAGATCCAGCCTGAGTTCTGGAASCTGGCCACTTTGATGACTTATTTGTTTTGCTCTGAYGAGTCAAAACGAGTCTGGTAAGTCATTAAAAAACACGCAAAAGCAACAGCTTTCATAACGGTAGCATGTAACAAGCTAATATTGCTAGCTTACTCGTCGATGCCATCAGCGTCTCGCTAGCCGCTTTCTGTTGCTGTGGCCAAGTACAGCCTTCGGAAACTCTCTGCTCTTCTGCGCATCACCATTCGTCGTCCCACTCGATGTTTAAGGACCGTTATGCGCCCTTTTCCAGTAAACAGTTCCCACCCACTTCTAAGCGGCTCTGATGACAGTGCGAAACATCCAGGGCTGGGCAGGGTCGGAACTAGGCCATCTGGGGGCCGGGGCCGGCCCTGCAGTGCGTAAACGCCATTTGATAACAGAACTTTGCTGTTTYTCAGCCACTTGTTATCCTCCCACAGCTGTTTGTGTTTCACTCAGAACAGTTTCAACWGTAAGGTGAAAAACATCATTAGCACCTGTTTAGTGTAATTGGTGAATTGTACACCTGCCTTTTTTATATAGAAAAGTCTGTATAGTGTACAAAACAAGTAAGGGGAATACATTTGTCAATATTACAGTTTTCAGAWCAAACTGTGAAATTAGTACTTTTTGTACCTAAATAAAGGAAATTAAAAAACAAAACAAAGCAATTATGGCATAGGCTCGGCATCATATTAAAAACAGCAAGAACTTGGCAGTGTTTTCATAAATTATGGCAATTTTCTTATTTGTATAAGAGACATACAAGTGATTGGAAATATTCAACAAAGTAGTACAGAAAGACAGTAAACACTAGAGTGGTATTTTTCCATTTACATGCATGAATACAGTATTTACATAAAATGATCATAAGACCGATGACATCAATAACACCAGAGTCCACATTGGCCATGAAATAAAGAACATCTTTAGATGTAAAAGAAGGTATATTAGAGATTTTAAGTGAGACCCAACTATGAATATCAGAGCAGAAAACATTAACATGTTGGAGACTGTAGAATAAATGAACTGTTGATTCTATTTCAGAGGAACAAAAACAAATTCAAATTTAAAACTTCCATGTAGAAAATCTCCCACAGGGTATATACCAGAAGTAATTTTGAAGTGGGTTTCTTTTACTTTAGGTGGAATTGGATATTTCACATACACTCAATAAAATCAAAACATCTGCGTTAGATTTACTTAAATCAATGACCATCAATGACTGCGTATCCATTAGGGGTGCACCAAAAAACTCGTTTTAAATCGGAATCGTGATTCTCATTTACAAAGATTCAGAATCAATTTAAAATGTCCCAAATTCGATTTTTATATAAAATCCAAAGGTTGTCA